CTTGGTGGACTTGGATTCATTCAATTTCAGTTTTCTAGATTTTTTTCTGAAGCTCTTGCTCTTCGACATCCCTGGAATTTGGTGTGTAGGTCAATATATCTGTAGATTTTGTTTGTCTTTTGTTTTTTTTTCACCTTATTATCATTTGTCACTTTTGGGAATGGCCTCAGAGCCTCAGGTCTGAAAGTGGTTTGATGAGTTGATGAACTTTCATTTTTATCGTTAGTTTGTGGATTTCTACAGCTCGGACCCGCTTCTTGATCGAATTCCTCACCTAGATGTTGTAATTGTGGTGCAATTATGGGAGGGTTTCGGCTCGGAGTCGCATCTTCATCTCCACGGCTTTGTTCTAGAGGCATGTCTGTAACTTGGGCTGCCATAAAATCATCATCGATGAAAATGTTGGGATATTATGGATAAGATCCCGTGACCTTGAATCCTGATGAATAATTGTTAAAAATGCTGTAGTGTAGATTTCGCCCAGAAACTCAACAATGTCATATATTGTAATGCGCTGACCAAGTGGTTCATCAGCCAATTATGGCACGCCCTGTTATAGTGCTATTTCAGTGGACCATAAACTGTTCTGTCCAGTGGCTGTAGCTTATGGCTTGTATGATGAGGTAATGTGAGCAGAGTTATATCATTTTCTCGAGCCATTTTTATTATTGTATAGAAAATGTGGCTGATGTGGTTGTCCATTATGAGAAGAACTGGTAATTCTTGTGTTGGTTGAGTATAGGATATGAAATGATGCAGCCACTGAACGAATATTTCCGTCGTCATCCAACCTGAGGGTGATGCCTAACCTAAGGTTCCATTTGGCGCTATTTTCTTCACATGGTCTTTGAAAAATTTCCTCGGAAATATCAATAAAGGTGGTATATTATTGCTATCTGCATTAATTGCACCACGCATCGTCACAATAAGGGTCCCTCTTTCACTCGACGTTATCTGACCAACTTGTCGCTGTCCTTTCATCGCAACCACTCTTCCTGAATCTTGAACTATGGTGAGAGCTGTTTCATCGACATCATATATTCTATCAGACCTAAAATGATATTCATCTAGAACTTGCTCGAGGTTCTGAAAAAACTTCTGATCAGCTGGTCCATTGAAACCCATAGCATGTCCTAAAGAAGTAGCTTCAGCTCTTCGAATAGAGAGTGGATATCTTTTCAGAGAATTGGTCATCCATTATTTTCTTGCCATTTGCTTTTCTTGCCAAGACTGCGGGAATCGTTTTTTGTTTGCCACTGCCAATGAAAATGCAAATTTTCGGGTATTCTTAGGTGTTAGTCCATGATGCAATTTTGCACAAATTTGGAGATAATTACACAGCTCTTGTTCTTCTGCAGTTGAGAATATACGGTTAACTGCATAATTTGGAGTTAATCCTGTAGTAACATTCGCTATATCATTATTTTCATGAAATTTCGTAACATATCTTCTGAGAGTAGTTCTAGGAATATTGCAGCTGCTTTCACAGAAAGTACATGGTCTCTTATACTTCAAAGTGCATTTTTCATAGTTTCTGAAAGGACTTTTCCAATTGAACCAGGAACGTACTGAACATCAGATCAAATATGTCGTTATCACTCGTAACTAACCAGTCTGCACCATATTCTGATAATACTAAGGGGTTGCCACTGTTGGCGGACCACTCCTAATCCATATTGGTTTTCGAATGAATTGCATGCATCTTGCTTCCAGGCTGCATGTCGCACGACGCATCCCACTTTGGTGTGAATGCCCACTTAGGGTAATTTCAACAGCCAGATTAATTAATTTCTTGATCTCTTGCTTGTACTCACAGTACGTACCTCTTCGAAATATGCCTCAGGAACACTACTATTTCCAATAGTTATTCACTGTAGACTTGCATCGTAATTTACTGTATTGCCAATAAGATAATTTGCACTTTGTGCATAAACAGGTTGGTGATAAGTTCATATCACCGGTCATCTCTTCTGAGAGCCCGAGCTCCTTCTCTTCTCACACTCTTGGCTCGTTGATCCTTTCCTCCAGGGTTGCCAACCAAAAAAATTTCAGAATTCTCAAAATTCACCAGGTTTCAACAAATGGAACGTTCAATCAAGATAAACGCATCAATGAGGTTGTTTTTTGTTTGAAAAAGAAATAGTTTGCCTGATAACCTATATTACGTCATCTATATGCCTAGATAACCATATTGCAAATCTTTTGATCTTCATCACAACCTACCAATGACGTCATCATTTTATCATTACCAGTCATTGATGCAACAAAAATTGATTCTTACCTATTTCTGTTGGAACAAAATTTATTCTGAGAAGACAATTATAAAATTGACACAAAACAAAAAAATTCTCATTCTAAGGATAATAACAAGAATAAATTATTGCAAATTTTTGAAAACATAAACATCAATACTAACCATTTTTCGTATTAATTAGTTGGCTATTGCAAGATGGTATCTACCTATAAACAGTAATCCTTGTTCTGCCTGATCAAAATCTCATCGGGCAATTTATAAGAATTGCAGCATTAACCTATTCTTTCCATACTGAACTTTATTTTTGAAATATTGTTCAAGAAGTTCGATTGCATTTGATTGTGAATTTATATTTTGACAATACTCATTGAACTAAAAACTCTTTCCACATATGCATTTGAATGAGTTAAGCAAAGGATCCGACCCAGATATGCCTGAGATCTTTCTATTCTGATTCTTCATTCAAATTCGAGTATGATACTTGGTGAACCTACCTTTTGTCATTTCTAGAAACTTTCTTCGATAAAAACACCATATTGTACCAAAACATTGGTGTTTAATTGAACGGACAGTAGGTACTTGGTACTAGAATATGTATATATTGCAAATAAAATAAAAATCTTATCAGGTAGATATTTATTACAAGATTTAAAAAAAATTGAACAAATTGATTCACATTTGCGAAGCAGGTGTATGGTAGGCCTCAAAGCATCGTATATGTAATGTAACCTTACACTTTTTACAGACTATAGAAACAGCTTCATGACAAACTCTACAGCGTGTTGACTTCTCTTGTGTTGCCACAAGGTAATCAATCCGGTCAAATCTTGAATCAACATTTTCCAGAGATGATGGTCTAGATCTTTTTCGATTATTTCCCCTCAATTTAGTTTCAAGAAAAGATTCAGCTATCCTTCTTCGAAATGTTAGATGATCCAATTTTCCGTTTTCTGTTTTTTTGTGTATGACTCAGGCATAATGTACTGCTAAATCCAACATATGAGCAAAAAGAGGAAAATACCACTCCTTTCCTCGAATTGCAGTCCGGTACAAACTCATATTCTGGTCACTACGGTCAACTCCACCCATGAATTAATTATACACTTTCGAAGCTTGAGGTTGCTACAGGGCTATACGTTTTTTTTTTCAGTTCGTGGAAAACGTGTAACTGGATGAGTTGGTTGTATCCCTACGAAATTCGATATAATATTCACAATATTATCATCATTCCAAGAGGCAATAATGATGGAACGTTTGTTAGTAGATTGGAAATCCCAGATGCCTCGTTTTGTTTTTCAAAAAATTTTGTTAGAAGGTTAGGACAGTTTCCTCGTCTATTTTCCCGGATAGTCCCTGTCGCTTTCATTCTTCTGTTGGTGAGTTCTTCTACCAGAGGTATGTTCGAAAAAAAATTGTCGAAGAAGAGGTGATATGGGGCATTTATTTTTGAAGAAACTATATCAGCGTAGTTCAAGATGATTGAAGGTTCCAACCCCATGTCTTTATATTTTTTTATTTCCGATTTCGCCCCTTGATAGGGTTCAAACCAGTTGACATAGCCATAAAATGTCGTACCGACCCAAAATTTATAGCCAAATCACACCGGTTTTCCTTTGATAAATTGTTTTCCTGGACGTCTTCCAAAATACGGCACCATAGCCTCATCTATGCTATGCTGCTCTACATGTGGTGCATTTGCTAAACAATTTTCATTTATCTTGTCAAAGAGAGGACGAATGTGCAATCGCATATCGGTAGCTGATAGTAGTTCGCGATTGAGCTTATCCCAATTGCTAGTCCTTGTCCCTTACTGTCTAGTTCTTTCGATAATATGGACAGATCGTGTGCCAATATTGAAGGTTCCAAAAGAGCTGTCGGTATTTGATGTAACCTGCACGAAACGATAATACTTTGTCTCTTGATCGTTACGTCAATTTCCACAAAGTCTTTGTATTTTCTAGCTGATGATTAATCGAAGACCGAAGTGACGTTTGTTGATTTGCTTCTTTTGTCATCACGTTATTCCGTAAGTTTTCTGTGAAGTTCTCCAAAACTTTGATTTTATCTTCCGTTTGTTCGAAAGCCTGTGAATTTTTTTCTTGGACTTCCTGGAATTTTTTGGAATCCTGAGCTATGACCTTCAAGGTCGTTTCCATGCCCTTATTAATTTTGTCCATACTGATCCTTAAGTTATCTTCGTCCATGACGAGTGATTGTAATTTTTGTTGGGTAGCGACTCCGCAGCACCAATTCAAGCCATCTGCTATGAAGTCTAAAGATCTTCGTGAGCGCCACTGTTGTTTTGGTTCTCTGGTTATGTTTCCCAAAATTTTTGTGCTCCAAGATATCTCCATAGATTGTAATTCTCGATTCAATGCTTCATGGATGTCGTTCATATGATTCAATATACTGCATTCTTGCTTATTATCTCCTTCTGAAGATATACATTTTATTTTTCTTGCTCTGATGCTTTCTCTGGTTATCCATTCCGCACGATATGTTAGTGGAATTGTTGCCAAGTATCCGATTGTTTCGGGTAACGCCCTCCAGAAGGCGCCTGCGGAAACTTCGACGTTTTGTCCTTGTTTGTAACAAAGTAAGCTGTGAAATATTGTTGTTATATTCCATAATTTGTATATTATTATTATTTGTTCATTTTATATCTGTGCTCCGAGTCCTATTACAGTTAATAGCTTTGTCATTATGCTTTTGGTATTTATTTTGTCTGAGTCCTTTTGGTTTTTTTTTAAATTGCTGCCTCTGCGAGCTTTTTCTTACTTCTCAAGTTATATCTTATCGTTATATGATTTTGCGAGTCGTGATGTTTTTGTTCCTCATCTTCGGATTTCTTTGTTGCTGCTGAGGTATCCTCGTTTTCCGACTCATCTTGCGACGGTTCGTTGTTGTCTTCTCTAATATCCTCATGGTCGGTCTTAGAATTTTTGTCGTTTTCTAAATCGTTGGAGGTTTGGTCGTCGTTTTCAGGAGGCGGTATATATCTACACCAAAGATCATTCCATTGCAGCATCCTTGATACGTGTACCGTGTCGAATTTTGCGTTTTTGTTGCTCCCCTTCCTTATTTCGTAATTCACTTCACCTAATTTTCTTTCAACTGTGTAGGGACCGAACCACTTCAGCAGCAACTTTTCGCTTTTTCCTACTTTCCTTACTGGGGTGAATATTTTTATTTTGTGTCCTTTCTGGAAGTCGAAAATTTTGTCGTTTGTTTATGTTTTCTACAGCCAAGCTTCTAACGAGTAATGCTTTTTCTCTTATTTGTATGGCATCTGTTGTGCACTGCGTTTCCATTATATTCGCCTCTGTGGGGATTAAGGGTTCTCTGCCGTATACCAACATGAATGGTGAGTATTTTGTGGTTTCTTGTCTTGCACTGTTGTAAGCGAAGGTGATATGTGGTAAATACTCATCCCAGTCGGTTTGTTTCGTGTTAGTATACATTGCGAGGGAATCGGCTATTGTCCGATTCAATCTTTCCGTTAGGCCATTGCAACAGGGGTGGTGAGCTGTGGTGAATCTAGAGTTAACACCCATGATTTTTAGCAGTTCTTGTACGAGGTTTGACCTAAATGTTTGACCTCTATCTGATAAGATAATTTTCGGGCTGCCGTGCTTCAGGATTATGTTCTCGATAATAAATGCAAAATATTTTCTTAGCTTTGTTACAATGAGTAAGAGACATAGGAGAGATATGGTTGAGGAAACATAAGCCACGATCCCTGCTCCCACGAACCATGAAGGAATTAAAGAACCTATTGGGGCTTGTTTTGATTCTTTGTCGGGAGTTATGTCTGTTGCCTCAGCCCGCATTATGTCTTTGCCAAAATCACTGATTGGAGACCACCTATCCCATTCCGCTGCTGTGGTGAATGGATCGTTTCTGTTTAGAGAATCGAACCTGATGTCGCTGTCATTGAATAGATCTACCCCTATCCTCTCTGCCGAATTTATCGAGAAGTAGAAATCATCATCATCCCTTGATATCCCTCTCCTGCCTTTCCTGAATGTGGTTCCTGAGTCGCAGTTGGTGTATGGGCTAAAGGATCTGTTGATGCAGGGATGCAGTTTGAAAGTTTCCTCCTTTATCCATTCCGACTTAGCAGGAATGTCTAAAAGAATGGGGATTAGCTCGTCATCCAGCTTTGAGACGGACTTTACTAATGTTATATACATGTCCTCAATGCGCCTTCTATTGTTTCTTTCTATATAAAGGTTTGTCTCAATCTCTAATTGTCTATATGACATTTTGATGATGACTTCTTTGAGATCTTCGACACTGGCTGCCTTTCCTAATTTGTCAAAATCCTGCATTATAGGGGAGAGTGGTGAGTTGTTTCCAGGCCCAAAACCCTTCTGTTTGCCCCACTCATCCATGGCTTCTATGTTGAGGACCTCTAACACCATATTCCGATAATAAGATTTATATGTTTTTGGGTCCACTAAGAATGGTGTGCCTCCTCCTTCACCTTCTTCTTGCCATACACAACTTATCTCTTCTCCTCTCCTCACCAGACATGTTGTGTCCTGCTCCAGCCTAGATTTCTTCCACAGGTCTTCAAGGAGATGCATTGTCAATCCATCCTCGATGTTTATAGGAGCCTCTATGTTCCCTTTAGGTATGGACACCTCAACGTCTTTTCCGTTGAAAGTGAATGGGCTGTTTTCCCCTGATAGCCCGGAAGCCAGCGACCTTTTTCAATGACCAAAAGCACAAAAGCTGAAAATGTTTTCTGAGCTTCATTTAGTATCACTAGTAAGGAAATCGGCCTCCAGCTGGCGCACTTCCGGGGGGTGTAGTTGCAGCAGCGTCCCAAACACGTAAAATTATAATAAAAAAAAACTGATATCACAAAAGCTGAAACTTTGTTAACATGTTGATTATCATACAAATAGATCAAAAAACGTATCCAGCCGAACTTATACTGGGGGATTATGCTCCAGCTTTTCACGTAAAGAAGTTAAAAATATGCGCTGAGTAAACTAATACCGCAAAAGCTGAAATTTGGTGAACAAATAGTTAAATTAATAACATAAACGATGAGAACATCCAGCTTTACATTGGGTGGGGGAAAAGTGCCCAGCTGATGCAGTGAAATACGCTGCGCATGGATATCTCGGGCGCATCGTATCTTTGACTGCATCAGCTGGACACTTTGCCCTCACTAAATGATGAGCGGGATTTTTTTTTGTTTAACCCATTATTTCAACTATAGGTACACCAAATATCAGCTTTTGCGGTATCAGGTATCTATACTTCTCTCATTAAACACAGCGCGCTGTCCATGCATCAAATGCGCTGGCAGAATCCACAGATTTATCATCGAATATGTGCTGATGGACAGGTGTGAACCGACACTGCCCTCTCTCGGCCAACTCCTACTAGAATTTGGCGCCTCTGCTCAGAATCAGAGATGTTCTGATGTTCGGTGGCTCAAAATTTGTTACCTACACTGAAAAAACATGCTTGCAAAAATAGCAGAAGTATTTTGTGGTATATTCATAATGAAAAAAATATTTATGTTCCGACTAATTTGGCCACTCAGATAAATTCAAAATGAAACTGCAAAAAAATTGTGATCATCTGATATATTTAGCCAAGGGGAGTGCAGTGATCGCATCAGAGTTCAATTCATCATTTTTTTAATCTCTTGGAAACGGCGTTCATTTGATGTGTACAAATTTGTCTAAATGACATATTCCATAAAAAGAAATAAAGTGCTTAATTTCACAGATAATATGCAAAAAAAAAAAATTCCAGTGTCAGGAAAAGTTGTTGAACTGCGTATGCAACGTGACTTGTTCGGTCAATTTTTATGCATATCCTTGAAGAAATCTCTAGATATAGAAAAAGTTTTGATATATCCTCTAACGCCGGTGCCATTATCAATGTGTCACATAGACGGCACCATCTGCAAAACTAATAAGGCAGCTCTATTGAAAATACTCGAGCAGCAGGTTGAGCCGCATATTCCGAAGCAGACTAACGTGAAGGTGTTCGATGGATTTTTTATGCTTCATTTGATGAGGGAAATTCCAGCTACTTACGGAAACATATCCACTAAAATGTTAAGTATGTTTTGTTCGAATGATGCGGAAGTTGTAGTAATCGCCTTTGATAGGTATATTTTTCCTTCGATCAAAGATAGTGAACATTCTCTGAGAGGGATGCAAGTCACACAATTCCACATCGAGGGAGCAGATCAAATACGTTCTTCTGATTTCAGTAATGACTTGAAAAATGCTAAATTCAAAGAGGCGTTAGTGAATTTTATTATACAGCACTGGGCACTTGATTCCGCAGCACCTTTCATTGGTAATAAAACCATTTTTATCAATTATGATCAGTGCTATAAATATAAAGTAAATAATGGCCACGTAGAAAGGACGCACGATGTTTCATCAACATGTCCAGCTCATGAAGAAGCAGATACGAAGATCGTTTTCCACGTCTGCCAAATAGATTACGATGCACATGTCACGATAAGATGCTCGGATACTGACGTGGCCGTTATAATGCTTTCTAACATGAGTGCCTTGAGTAACGCGAATGTTAAAGTCTCAATGGAAGCTGGAGTTGGTAATAATCAACGCTTTATTAACATTAGTAAATTGTATGAAACGTTAGGCCCTAAATTGAGCGCAGCGCTTCCGGCTTTTCATGCCCTGACGGGTTGCGACTATAACCCGTCATTTTTCAAGAAAGGAAAAAACCGGCCCTATAAAATTTTACACAGCTCAGAAATATATATAGAACATTTTATCAAACTAAACAACGCACCTGATGACGAGTTGGAGAATACCTTCAACACTACAGAAGAATATGTATGTCGAATGTATGGATTTAAAAAAATCAACAAAGTGAATGAAGCACGAGTTGAAACATTTTTGAAAACCTACAATATATCACAAAACGATGACATATTCCGGTTACCGAAGAATAACATCGATGGATCAGCTCTGCCTCCCTGCAAAATTGAACTGCACCAACATTTGCTGCGTACAACATATATAGCAAATATTTGGGCACACGCTCATCTTCAGGTTCCAACGGCATTACATCCGACTGATTTTGGCTGGAAAGAGAAGGAGGGAAAATTTCACTTCAAATGGTTCGAAGGTGAGCAGCTTCCCTCTTCACTTGGTGATATAACTATCAATGAGGATCAAACAAGTCCTACAGGTCAGAAATTTTTTGAATATTTTCTCTTTGGTTTAATCTATATTTATAGCAATCTTGTATATCATGTCAACTTTTTTTGATATTCATAATCTGATTTGCATTAAGATTTTGCTCTGAATGTTTTTATATTAATATCATCTATATATTTCAATATATAGTTAATATACAATATATGGTTACAGATGATAACGAAGATATTTCGTGGATCAGCATCAATTGCAGCGATCATGAAAGCGATGATGGGAACGACGACGATGAATCCGAAGGATCCGAAATCTGAAAACATTGTTGATATCTGATTTTGTTACACACACTAGTTCACTATGTCTGTTAATTTGTTTTGTTAGTATATTTTTTGTGAAGGAATACTGAAAAAAAAATTGATAGTAAACCTATTTTTAATTATCTTCCTTCAGATCAGAAATGTAATACCTACGTATTTATCATTAAATAAATGCATGCATGTGCGCTGAGTTTGAGAAAACTATAGATACCTGATACCGCAAAAGCTGATATTTGGTGTACCTATAGTTGAAATAATGGGTTAACAAAAAAAACCTCCAGCTCATCATTTTAGTGAGGGCAAAGTGTCCAGCTGATGCAGTCAAAGATACGATGCGCCCGAGATATCCATGCGCAGCGTATTTCACTGCATCAGCTGGGCACTTTTCCCCCACCCAATGTAAAGCTGGATGTTCCCATCGTTTATGTTATTAATTTAACTATTTGTTCACCAAATTTCAGCTTTTGCGGTATTAGTTTACTCAGCGCATATTTTTAACTTCTTTACGTGAAAAGCTGGAGCATAATCCCCCAGTATAAGTTCGGCTGGATACGTTTTTTGATCTATTTGTATGATAATCAACATGTTAACAAAGTTTCAGCTTTTGTGATATCAGTTTTTTTTTATTATAATTTTACGTGTTTGGGACGCTGCTGCAACTACTCCCCCCGGAAGTGTGCCAGCTGGAGGCTGATTCCCTTACTAGTTATCCCAAATAAAGCTCAGGAAGAATTTTCAGCTTTTGTGAAATGACTAACTCTAAACGGTTGCTGGCTCCCAGGCTATGAACTATTTGGTCTTACCAGCAGAGGAAGATCAGTGATTTCTACCAGGCACTCCCATGATGATATGCACGAATACCTCCACTTCACGATCCACTTCTGCCCTATTCATGTATGTTCCCTCCTCTCAACGTTTCTTCCCATCGGAAAGGCATTTATCCGCTCCACTACTCCAGCAGTCGTCGTCATAAGGTGCACACAAATACCCTATTGAACAAGTCCTTTCCTTTTCCCACTTCAATACTTCATCCCTTGTGAGAGGATATGGTGTTGTTTTCATAGTGCACGGATTGTTTTGGAAGGCACCTTCGCAATAGTGTGTCCATCTTGTTCTCCTACTAATTGCAACTTTGATCTTAGAGGGGTATCTTGTCAAGGAGGCTCTAGAATTCTTTCTCAGCGTCAAAGGAACCATTTGATTTGGGAACACAAGGTAATTTGTTCTCTCGCTCTCAGTTTTCTTGCATAGAGTCTCTTGGCTTCTTTTCCCCTCCTCTCTCTTTCCATTTTCCTGGGCTCCCATGCATTGTAGGATTAGGGCTGCGAGAGCAAAGTATGGTTTCAAGAACATATTGATATTATTCTATAACTGTCTGTTTCTACTGTGAGAACACACAGGTCAGAGTCATATGTCATACCCTCTTAGTTTTTTGCTTGCTCGGGGAGCGTAGCTGGGGTGACACTAGTAAAAACACACTCTTTGCTAATCGAGAGGTATCAGATTTTGTATCCTCTGAGGCTTTACTCATTACTTGACCAACTTATTGAATCAAGTAAGATACAGAGCCACATTAGGAGATCAATCAATGAGAACACACAGGTCAGAGTATCCGATTAACAAACTTTATTGAAAACAAATATGGATATTTACATAAATAATCAAATCGTCGACCCAACCGGACCAATCTCTCACATCTGCCACTCGAACACGCGGGTATTTCACTAAAGGGTTCGTCGAGCCTCGATCTTCTAGACCACCATTTTTCTATCGCAGCCTAATTGATAATGCTCATTCGTTTCCTCAATCAGTCTTTCGTGAGTCAACTGCTGACTCTTTAGTTCTTCGCCAAAGTAGCTCAAAGTTAATGAACTTATTCATTAGAGGAACATTGTTTGTTATTTTGGAAACGGTGACCTTTAGGTATTGCTGATATAAATCGATTGTGCAATAAAAGGTTAATAGACGAATGTATAGAATGTAGATCGGAGCATACGGAATAATAATAGTGATAATAATAAATTCTCAAATCAGAGTTGACAATATATTCGTTCTTTTTACCTGTTTTCTCTGAAGGGCCGTAGTGATCTATATGTATCACTTCAA